ACGATGAGACAAGAATTTAAGATCTTAGTCATTGTTTTTGTTTTCAATAATGTTGCCATTCATTGAGTTATATTTATAGAGATGATATGAAAGAATTTGATTGTATAATAATTTGATTTTTCTTTTTCTTTTTCCCCATTTTTGGTCATTGAATTGCATTATCTTTACAAAATAAGATTGTAATAATATTATATATACACACACACATATTGGAATGTGATAGAGTGTTTTTTGAATTATACTTAATTAAAATCTAGGTTTTATTGGGAACAAATTATGGTATTTTGTATGGTTAATGTGATCAAAATTCGGATTTTGATTAAATATTATGTAATAAGTTTATTTGTATTCAATATGTGGTTTATCTGTATATATAATATGAGTTATTTGCACAGACCTCTCTGTGTAAGCTGTAATGGCTAAAAAAATCCAGCTAAAACAATTTAGCAATTAACCCCATATGTTGCATTTTATTTAGTTTACTATCCCTAGTGAAAATAAATATGTTGAATAAAAGGAAGTGATTATACTACCCTTCAATTAATAACATAAAATTAGAATTAATATATAATAGAGGCCAAATTGTAATTTTACTAAACTTATGAAACTTAACTAGGGGACTTAATTGTAATTTTCCCAAACATAAAATTGAATTGGATTTAAATATAATTAATCCAAAACTTTGGATCAAATTACAAATTTTAAAATTTCTTAAATAAATAAATAAAACACATTTTTTTATGGATAAAGAAAAGAAAAGAGAGACAATTACGTCTTCCCCACCACCACCACCAAACTCAGAATACCACCTCCGGCAATCACATCTTCACGCGCCGCCCCTTCCTTCCACCACCCGCCTCCTTCGCTCTTCTCGTCCCATCCACCACCAACTTCTCCTTGTCAATTCCACACCAACCGATTCTTTTGCAAATTCTAGAATTTTAGCAAGCCTAGCAAAACTCCAGCCAAAGCTTTAATCGCCACCACCGTCAAAGCCCTAACCGCCGCCATCGTCGGTGAAGATGATAAAAAAATAGTGATTTCGTCTGTGGGGCTTCCGTCTTCTTCAAGTCACCTTGATCTGTACTCCGGTGATGGTACCTGCAACGCCGGCGGGAAAGCTCCGGCGGGAAAGCTCCGACGATCAAGTCAGTGATCGAAAGAGACAGGTATATGTGTGATGTGGTAATAGATAATGTATTTTTCGTGTGTGTGTGTGTGTGTGTTTAATGGTCCTTCTATTTATAGATGACCTTTTTTAGGGTTTGCTCCCCCCTCAAGTCAAGTGTTTTGGGCCTCCCCTATTGGGCCTGCTTTAGGTCATGCTTACACTGGAATACTAGCTACGGTGCTGCCAGCTCGTCATTCGGAGGTCGTAGTCCGTCATTGTTTCTTGTAATAGTAAATTGGTTCCTCTCAGTTCATATTTATTCGTCTCGTCACAGTGGCCCGTATCAACTACTCCCCCCTACTCCTTATTTATAAGACGAGTTCGTTTTTTTCTCACCTCGTTTTATAAGTATGGAGTACGAGGTGCGAGTTCGTGCTTCGGTTTATGTCTGGTTGGTGCACGCAACCCTTCCCCTTTTTCCTCAATTAATTGCTCTGACATCCCGTGTGATCGATTCGAGTTCCCTAGGTCATCATGGAGAAATTTCAATCAGTGCTTTTTGCGCCGGATTCGAGACGATCTGCATTAAATCTCGTCCGCTCGAATAAACGGTTACGATTGATTTCCCCTCTTTCCTAGGTCATTACTGAGGAATTCTAATCGGTGCTTCTTGCACCGGATTCGAGATAATCTACTCTGAATCTCGTCCGTCCGAATAGACGGTTACGATCAAGTTTTCCTCTTTTCCTCCTTCTATAAGTATCTGACCCCTGCCATTTTTCTAAAAAAAATTCTTTTCCACCCCCGTGCTTTCTTTCCTATTGTTTTTCCTTCTCCGGCGATCCTGCTTTCTCGAAAGAGAGTTCCTACCCTCCGTATCCACGATCTCTCTCGGCAAAGGTACTGCTCTTCTCCCTTGTCTTTTATTGCCCTTGTCTTATTCCTCCGATCATCTATGTCTTCCCACTCCCCCGATCCTTTCGGCCAAAAAATGCCTTCTAGCCGCTGTTCCGGGGAAGGGGATGATTATCCTACCCTTACCCTTTCTTCTTCTTCGGAAGAAGGGCCCTTCTTTTCCCCTTCGGGCAAGCTTCTGAAAAAGTCAAAGAAGAGAGGTAGGGATGACGCTCTGTCTTCTGCGTGGAGCGGTTCTCCTTCGTTGTCTGGGGGGCGTGAGTCGGACGACCAATGGGGGCCTAGTACTTTAAGTGAAACAGACCTGACTAACTTAGCTCGCGACATAGGTCTCCCTTCTGACGTCGAATTAATTTTACCTTCTCGAGATCAGCGCCCGTTAAACCCTCCCCTAGGTTTCAGCACCTGGTTTTCAGAACAGTTTTACTTTGGTCTTTCCTTCCCTATCTCGCCTTGGTTCTCCGAGATTGCCCAATTATGTAACGTGTCCCTTAACCAATTCCATCCTCATGCTATAATCATCATTACCGGGTTTCGCATGCTCTGTGCCTGGTCAGGGGTAACTCCTACCCCAGCTCGTTTCCGGAGCGTTATGGTGTTGAAAAACTCCAGTCCCTTTCACATCTCTATCTCGGCTCGTCCGGGTTTCAAGATATTAATGCCACCTAACAAGACTGATGGGTGGCAAGGTCATTACTTTTTTGCGAGAAATCCTGTCGACACCCCCTATCTATGCCCTTGGCTCGCCACTTTGCCCGAAAAAAGGAGGGGAAAACCTTTGGCGATTGATGAATGTTTGTTGAGAATGATAGTTCATTTTCAACCGAGTTACGGTATTCCCGAGAGTCTCACGAGTTTTCCACCGATATTTCGCCACTTCTACTTCCATGACAACGGCACTCATCCCTTAACCCAAGAGGATTTAGGTGGGTCTAGACATGATATCCATTTTTTGTCTTGGTTCGGTGTTTATTTTGGACCATTGTTTTTTATTTGACTATATTTATGTTCGTTGGTATTTTTCCCATTTGCTCATCATATATTTCTTAATTCCATGAACAGACTTAAGGATGAAGAGAATGTTCCGAGGTGAGAAGCTGGCGACTCGTCCGTCCGAGCCGGAGCCTGAATTTCAAGCGTCCGAGTTTCAGCGTCCTTTAGCCGCTGAATCCGAGAAACGATCTTCAGAGGAAGGGGATTTAAGGCCGAGGCCCCCCAAGAAGAATGCCGGGCCTTCGCGTCCGCGAGGTGGGCCACGCGTTGAAGATGCCGAGCCTCCTCGGCGATCATCGGCCGTGGTTGTGGCTTCTTCCCCACCGCCCTCCTCCGCCGAAGAAGTGGTGGAGAAAGATCCCTCTTCGAAGAAAAGGAGGGCCGAGTTGGCCCTTGGGCCAGTCGGGTCAGCTCCACCCCCTAACTTTGCACTCCATCTCTGCCAGAATGCAGAGAACGCCATTGCTGCTTGCCGGGCTCTGGCTTTTCCTCGAGATGTTGCCCACTTCGGGCAGATGAGTAAAGGTGACCGGCTCGAGCTACTTCTACATAATATCATGCAGGTTGGTTTTACTTCGTACACGCGAGTTATTCCTTATCTTTGCATTTTTTATTTACGGCTAACTTTATTTGAGCTTCTCGTACGTGCAGCAATTCGCCATCGCCTTTTCGGGCCCTCTAGGGTGGGACGATGTCTCGCGCGAGGCATACGATAATCAGAAGAAAGAGGTCACTCAACTCCGGAAGGAGGTCCGGGCTTTGAAAGAGAGTCTGGCGGTGGCGGAGTCGTCGAAAGAGGGGCTTTTTGCCGAGGTGAGGAAGCTGCAAGAAGAGCAGAAGGTTTTACAGGCCGAGAAGGATTCGTTGGCATCTCATAACGCCAGCTTGGAAGAGAAAGCGAAGCAGCTCTCAAATGAGCTCTTTGCAGCTGGGGTACAAGCGTCCGCTAACTTCACCGAAGGAGTGAAGGAAGGGCATAGGCTATTCCCGGGATCATCCGAGGGTCTCCGTTTTATGGAGGCGTTTGTCGGTCGCTTTTTCGATCGACTCTGGCGTTCGACGACGTTCACCCGACAAGCGTCCGGTTTAGCTCGCTTCTTTTTCTCGGAAGCGGTAAAGGCTGTTCGGAAGCGATTAAGCGGTGCTGGCATCGAGTTCCCACTGGTCGAGAATGAGCTTGCCGAGGACTTGCCGGATGACGTGATTCCGGGTTTTGAAGGAGATGTGAACGAGGACTCCGACTTGGAGTGGTGGAGGCAGGTGCATCGGGAGCTCGTCGAGGACTTCTCTCGCCAAGGGACCTCCTCGGTGATCATCACCGATTTTGTTGAGGATGTTGAGACTGTTGATGCAATGGCAAATCTCAACAAGGCACCGTCTGACCTTATTTCGTCTCCTCTTCCGTCTGCCGGGGATCAAGGCGAAGCCAGGGTGGAGCCTTCCGAAAATACTTAGCCAATTTTTTCTTTGTTCCCACCTATGTACTTTTATGCGATGTATTCATATTTCCTTTGTATGTTCTGAACAATCTATTTCACTTCTCGTATTTCAATGTATCAGAAATTTGCTTGTTTAAGTTTTGCTTTTCAAGCTTACTTGTGTTTCTTATATCCTGATGTTATGTATTCAGGAATGGTTTTTAGACTCAGCAACTTATTTTTGAATTCGGGTTGAACCAACAACTCTTTTAGACTCGCATCGGTGATCATCCCTTGATTTCATCGACTTAGGACTTAGCCTGATCTTGGCAAGCCATTTTTGTTTATTACAACAACTTGCTTTCATTTTAGTTCAACACCTGGTTTTTATACCTCACTTATGCGCGCGACTCAACGCCTCATTTTAGTATGCGACTTAACGCTTCATTTTAGTACGCGACTTAACGCCTCATTGTAATTCGCGACTTAACGCCTCGGTGTAATACGCGATTTAACGCCTCAGCGTAATACGCGATTTAACGCCTCAATGTAATACGCGATTTAACGCCTCAGTGTAATACGCGATATAACGCCTCAGTGTAATACGCGATTTAACGCCTCAGTGTGATACGCGATTTAACGCCTCAGTGTGATACGCGATTTAACGCCTCAGTGTAATACGCGATTTAACGCCTCAGTGTGATACGCGATTTAACGCCTCGGTGTAACACGCGATTCAACACCTCGGTGTAACACGCGATTCAACACCTCGGTGTAACACGCGATTCAACGCCTCGGTATAATACGCGATTTAACGCCTCGGTGTGATACGCGATTTAACGCCTCAGTTGTAACGTAAATAAATAACACAAGGATTTTTTTAACGTGGAAACCCTCCAAATAAGGAGAGAAAAAACCACGGGGCCTAGCCCAGCTCGGAAAATAAATGTTCATTGATGGTTTTTTCTTTTACAGGATGTGTTGCTTCTCTGCTTCTCTGACTAGTTTTTTTTTTTTTTTTTTTTTTTTTTTTTTTTTTTGTTTTTTTTACGCGAAGAAGCGCTTCAAGTGGATTACATTCCATGCCCGTGGCAATGGTTTTTCCTCTATATCCGCCAGCTCATATCCACCGCCAGCCAAACACTTTGTGACCACGTATGGTCCATCCCAATTGGCTTCCAATTTTCCTGTGTGTTTTAGGGCATCAGCTCGTCGTAGAACGAGATCACCAATCTGGAATGAGCGAGATCGGACCCCTTGATCATATAGGGCTTTGATCAAATTCTTGTTTCGTTCCATGTGTAAATAGGCTGCTTCTCGTAAGTCAAAGATCGCATCCAACCGGGTTCTTAATGCACCGTCATTCGTCTCTTCATCAAATGTGGCTATGCGGAGTGTGTCCATTGCCACTTCTACTGGAATGACTGCTTCGGTCCCATAGGTTAACCGAAATGGTGTTTCACCGGTAGCTGCTTTGGCCGTGGTTCGGTAAGACCAAAGGACCGAAGGTAACTCGTCCACCCAGCTGCCGCCTAGCTCGTCTATCCTTTTCTTTAGGCCATTGACAATGGTCC